TTTCTGAGAAAAAAAAATTGTCAGAATTCAGGTTATCTTGGTTAAGTATAAAATTTTTGTTTACAAACCACCAAATAAGTCACACTGTGCAAAAAAATAAGTATCAGATTTAATTTATTTTGGATAATTCTTTGTGCACATTAACGTAAGATATTAGTGCTCCTCAATCTCATGGCACTGCTAATGCTCTTCACTTTGAAGGCTACACAGTATAAGATACAAACAGGAATTAACAGAGATACACAGCAGAAACCACTGAATAAAAATCACAAAGCAACTTCTATGGCCAGAACAACTGAGCATCCCCATGCCTTGTTTTTCTGCCAGGTCAGAAACAGTCAGCAAAATCATCAGTATAAGTAACTATGAAGAGAACTGCACAAGGTAAGAACTTGAGATCTACCTAGCTACAGCCAGGCTTTTCAAAATGAATTACAGAAAAAAATTAATCTACCCACTTAAAGTCACTGGCTCACAATCCCAGACTCCAATTTGGTTACTTTTTAATACTAATTCCAGAACAGGGCCATTTGCAAGGCTTCAAATACAGTATTTCATGAAGTTGAGGACTGAAAATTCCAGAAGAATAAACTGTCATAAGCTGGTTACAATGTTTATTAGATGGAGTTCTTGTATCTTTCCTACCTCCATAAATGAGAAAACAGAGGCAGATGCTGGTTCTTCTACCACTAGGGCAGGAGGCAACAGTCCCCTGCTTTTATGCAATCCAACGATGCCTGAAAAGATGAACAACTCACATGAAAGCATTTAAACTGTGGAAAGTTTTAGATAAATATTGAAACATAAAGAAGTAAACAAGGTTTACTTCCATAGAACAAGGTTCTCCAAAGCCCGACCAGAAGATACAGATACACCATTGCGAGATGATAAAGAATTAGGGAACTGGGTTAGAGATAATGCCCTTTCATACTAAACACAATACCAACTAATATGGGATTCCATTTGATGTGCAAAGTAAGTTCAGTACAGTAGTAACGTTTCTTGGCATTTATGATACTCAAACCTTTTGTAAATATTAGTTAATCTTCATAACATCCTTGTGAGATGGGTAGGTATAACTATTATTCAACTTGGTGAGCTTGAAGTTCCTACTCTAACCTTTGAAAAATGCTAGATGCAGTATAGCCGTAAACAGACATACTCACTGGCAATGTGTTTAAAAGGGGCTCTGAAGTACTGATATATTTTACTTTAACTATCCAAGGGAACTACATACCCTAAGATGCTTTGACATTGAAGCATAAAGAAAATTTGAGTACACCAGTCCCTTAAATGCAAACTATATTTAATGTGCTAAACGTCAAAGATGACTAACATAGAAATGATATTAAGGAAGTAATAAAACTTGGATCTAGTTTAAGTTGACATGCTATATTTTTCTCTAGAAGGGTTCAATGTGTAGTCACTGCATAACAGGCAATAAATGCAAGCTTTCCATATTACTGCACAGCTATGTTCAGAAATGTGCTAGATTTTTGCCTGCCAGTTGTTAAAGGCTTGGGGTTTCCATGAGGGGAAAAAAGGTGGCAATCCAACTTAGTTTGGATGTGGTGATTGTTTTGAATAGCAATTTATTATTGAACTTGTTGAATTATCTTTCCAATAACACCAGATGGATCTTTAAAAGCAGATAAATACCTTTATGGGGTGCTGAGCACTATGTATTCAGAGATGGGAAAGCATGATGTTTAGCGGCTCTCCAAGTCTGTGATGCTTGCGACTATTGCCAGAAAGGCCACAACATTTTCACTATTGTTTGCTTGGTCATTATTAAAACTAATGTGGCACATCTAGCAAATGAGAGCAAGAGATAACTTTCAGTTAGAAAACCAGATTTTCATACTCCTCCCCCACCCCAAAAATTCATAGTGTCCTGCAATTCATTGCCGGCATTCTGGTGTTCATATGCTCACCAATAGGTGAGTGCAAAAAAATGGTAGCCAGACAGTGCACTAGCACCTCACCCAAACTTCACAGTTTCTGTTGTGATACAAAAATATGATTGGCTACTGCAAGGACAACAGCTACAAAGCTGCCTCTTTATGTATTTTAAGAAGACTGATAAAAAGGCACTATAGTGCCATAGTTCCTTAACTCAAGCAGGGAGAATGGAGAACTCAGAAGTCAGGATGAGGCAAGGATTCCCACTAAAAGAAAATTTCCCACCTCTAGGTTCTACCACTTCAGTTTCAGCATCTGCAACACTTCTTCCTGCCCTACTGCTGAGCTCAAAATTAATCACCTCTGTTTCCCCCAGTAATGACAAGGTGTGATCATGTGGGTGCACAGCCGATGAAGAGACAGCACAAGCACCACCTGTGGAGGAGACACTGGACTGTTGAACAATTATTTATCTATTTATTTACCATGACTTGTATGCTGCCTATTCTTACAACTCTAGGCAGCTTACAACAAACACAATAGAACACCTATAAAATACTCAAAAAAACCAAATCAGTAAAACTAATAAATACTATTAACAAAATTATTAATAAAAACTGTTGCTACCATTAGACAGATTTAAAGAAATGCCCCACAGAGCTGTCTGGTAGGCCACTGGCAAACTTCCCAAGCACTGTAAGAAACCAAAAGGATCCATAAGATGCCTGAAGTGAACAATTTAATAAGCCTGTTCCCCCTGAAGGTTGGTGGTGGGTATCAATCTTACTCTATGAGAGGCAATGACACCAACTGCATTTCTGCTTGTCATATGCTTACTAGAATCCCTACGAGTTGGAACCTTTCTAACGCTGGTAACAAAGGCTTGACAAAAGCACCATTCTTGGTCACATTAGAAAATGCTACTTAAATGTTTATCAAAAATAATAGTAATAAATAGTAATAAAACAAAGTATAGTGCATTGAAGCTATTTAACTGTTAAGTGAAGAATGGATGTAAACTGCAGAAAGACAACATTAGCGGGCAACCAGCTTCATGTGTTTCACTGCATCTCATTTAATGGATAGATCCACATAACACGCTGTTATTGTTCGTTTAAGTATGGCTTAGTAACTAAGCCACAACTGGTTGAATTCACAGAATACATTAAGCCATAAACCTGGTTTAAAAACCAAAATGGCTATATCCAAACACTAAGCCAAAATCAAACAATTAAACCATACTGTGTCTCCATTAGATAGATGAACACTTATCTTTGGCACTGATTTAATTGTACCATAGGTAATCTCATTTCCTAGCACTTAAAGATAAGCCATGCTTCTAGAGTATCAGGGTACAAAAGCATGATTTTAGCTCTCTTGAATCTGTGGCAACAGCAACTGGAAAGTATTCTAAGTCCTTCTTTTTTATTAAATAAGTCTCTCAGAGTAAACATAATCCTTGAAAAGGAGAGTTCCTTATTTTATTTCATGGTCATCCTTCCTAATCAATGTTGTTTAGTTAATTACACTTTAAGTTCCATTACATCTGAAAAAGTAATCAATTCTTTTTCCATCTTAACTGAATGTTTAAGATAGACCAATAGGCTAGCTACACATAGCTTTGTGATCAATACTGAGTGGTGATAAAATGCTGCTTGAGTCCTCTGGACTCCAGCTTGCCCATCACCTAGTTATATGGAAGCCTACAGTTAATGCTTTATAGTGAACAACAACATGTGGATTCATGGAGTAAAACTGATGCCAAGGCAAATGATGATACTGGAAGAATCCTGCACACTGAATCTCCCCACAATGGCTTGAGAGCCAGTTTGGTGTAGTGGTTAAGGTGCTGGGCTAGAATGCAGAAGACTAGTCTTCCCTTAGGCATGAATGCCAGCTGGGTATGTCTCTCTCTCTCAGCCCAACCTACTTCACAGGTTTGCTGTGGGGAAAATAGGAGGCAGGAGTATTAGTTCACCGCCTTGCGTTATATATAAAAAAGGCGGAATAAAAATCGAATGATGATGATGTATTTGGACTGGCTTGATACAAGGTAAATAGAGGACAGAGGAATTCTTCCATTAATTCTAATAAGCTTTGATTAGACATTGGTACATCACAAAGGCTGATGGTCATAAAAGGCCACCTACTTGTAACATCTACTAATCAATTCCAACGTATTATGCACAACAGTTAGAAAGGCAATGCTGAATAAGCAAAATGATTTTTATAGTGACTGATCAAAATCAGAAATAGGCCAGTTTATACAGCAAGAATACAAAATCACTCATCAAATCAATGCATTCTTGACTATCCCATATGACAAAGGGTCACAGTGAGGACATCTTGGTGTCTACCCACATCTCCCTTTCTTCCCCTTACAGCTATGAATTTTAGAATGTGATCTGTAAAACTACAGTGAAAATAACAGAGGAAAAAATGCTAAAATTTGACTTTTTTATACCTGTTTGTGATACTGAAACCATATGGAATAGCAGCCACATTCAAAACTTTCTAAGTAACCTCCCATGTACAGTCACCATGTAAGAACCAGACCTAAATCTAAATGCACTGATTGATAAACTCCTCCATGACATGAAATATATATAACTGAAGCAAGATTAATTCCCCCTCTAACAATTTCTTCTCTTGTCCCTTTGTGGCATCTTTTTTATTTTTCTCTTTCAGTTCTGAGTATACAGATAGTCCCTGGGTTAAGAATGCCCTGTTAACAGACAACTCATAAGAACAGAGCCTATTGTAGCAAAATTCAAGTTAAATACACAATGATTTGAGTTAAATACACAATAGTTTGAGTTCACAATACTACTT